TAGGCAAGTCATTTCAAATGGGACAAAGAAAGCAAGGGTTCTTGTTTATTACCCAACAACAAAGATTTAATAACCCAGAAGTAGAGTGTTTTCCACAAGGGTTGTCACATAAATCTAATGCTAGATGAGTTGTCATACCTACCTAAAAATAAATAAGATGGAAGTTTGAGGTCAAAGTTCATGTGCAAGACAAGAGATGAGGTTCTCAGAAACTTCAATCTTGACCAAATGCCTAGTTTGGCACAAAGTCTTTGAACGTATATCCAAGTAAATATGAAATAGAGAAGCCTATCAAATTTGTGGATTGAAAAGGTAGATAAATTCCCAATAAGTCATTCCTTTGAGAAAAAGGAAATTATCCAAATACAAGATAAATCCACAAAGAAACAAAAAAAAAAAAAAACAAATCACAAGAAACAGTTGTTTTAGGCATTACAAATCATAAGATCTAGAGCTAAAAGAGCTGAACTCAGACAATTGAAAAATAAAATGTTACAACATGGCATGGCAGTTCAATCCTAAAGAAATGTCACCAGTTTACTGCTGCTCATTATCTGGTTTTGCAGCTTCTTTGATCTCATCAGTTCCATCATCCTAAACAAGATTCAGCAAGACACAAAGATTATTAAGATCATTCAGAGAATGGCGACAAAACAATCTTATTAACAATAGAAAGAAATATATACCTGCATATCTGAAGTCCATAAAGTGAGGTTATCGCGAAGAAGCTGCATGATCAGAGTGCTATCCTTGTAGGACTCTTCGCCCAATGTGTCCAGCTCGGCAATTGCCTCATCAAAGGCCTTTCATATGATCAAATGAACCATAAAAATCATTTTTTAAAAGATCAACCATAAAAATGGATATCATTATATTAAACGTAACCGATCATCCCACAATGCCTAATTTGTCAATTTCAACAAAACTCTATCTAATTATTTTCAATAAGGAAAACTGTATCTAATTATTCAATTAGTAATTATGGTAAACATTCATTAAGATAACTAGGTCTCTTCATGTAGCAACTGATAGCTATTAGCTCTAATAACTGATTTCTACAATAATCAAAGCCATTGTAATAATAAAACGATTTGATCAAAGACAAATTCTTTTAAATGAAAGTTACTCATTTACTGACCTGTTTGGCGAGATTACAAGCACGATCAGGAGAATTCAAAATCTCGTAGTAAAATACAGAGAAATTGAGAGCAAGTCCCAATCGGATTGGATGCGTAGGAGCAAGCTCAGTATTTGCAATATCCTGAAATCACGAGATCAAAAAATGTCAATTTAACATTTTTTTCTCCAGAATTTGAATAATTTTCCATCTAAAACAAAAATGATAAATCTAACCTGAGCGGATTTGTAAGCCGAGAGAGTGTTTTCGGCGGCTTCCTTTCGCTCGGCACCGGTTTTAAACTCAGCCAAATAGCGATGATAATCTCCTTTCATTTTCAAGTAAAACACCTTAGAGTCACCGGTAGCAGCGGCGCCAATGAGCTTAGAATCGAGGAGCTTGAGAATGCCATTACAGATCGAGGTGAGTTCGGTCTCGATCTTAGATCTGTACTCCTTGATGGAGGCAACGTGATCTTCGTTACCGCGGCTCTCCTCTTTTTGCTCAATGGAGGAGATGATACGCCACGAGGCTCTCCGTGCTCCGATAACATTTTTGTATGCGACGGAGAGAAGGTTGCGTTCTTCGACGGTTAGTTCCTCGGCACCGTCGGCGGCGGCGACGACTTTCTCCATGAACTCAACCATCTCCTCGTAACGCTCGGCTTGCTCGGCAAGCTTTGCCATGTACACGTTCTCCTCGCGTGGCGACGCCATTGATGTTGCTGTGAGAGAGGAAATGAGAGAGGAAGTTTTGTAGAGAGAGAAAATGCAGAGAAAGTAAAGAGCGGTTTTTAGGATTCTCCTCCTCTCAGTTTGATTTTTGTGCGTGCGAAGTGGGAACCGGAGAGGGCTTTCATCTTTGTGGGCCGATCCGGGTTCTTAGTCTGATTGGTTATTAAGTGGGCCTGATAACAATTTTACTTAGTCAACTTATACATTTGACCTGTCGGTCGAAAATAATTATATTTTCTAGTCAAATATACAAAAAATATAACTGATATACATATATTATATATTAATATACAAAAAATATATAATTTACGGCTATTATTTTTTGGAGCATCAGTACAACTGTATAATGTATTTTTCCCTTTTACACTTTGGACGAAACTGGTCCAATAAGATGCAGCAACTCCTTGAACTTTTCAAACTACTTTTTCCCTTTAATAATTTCTTCTTCCATATATTCGCTATTACTTTTTCTTTTTTCTTTTTTGGGTTTAACAATCAGGAGATTATAAGGCCAGCTTTTGCCGGTAAAAGTTTGTTTTGTTAAATACAGAGATATTTGAAGTTGCTAACTTCAACGGGAACTAAACTCTCTCGTTTAGCTAATCATTGGTCCATTAATATCAGTTTCTTAATTTGTGTATTTGAATTTGATTGTGTAAACTCAAAATTGAAGACGTTATGTTCACTGGTGTTACATTGTGATTCTGTGATCAAGGTGCTTTATCTTATTATATATGCTTTGCTTTGCTATGCTATTTATTTTCTTTTTAATTTTTCCTTCATTACTTTGGTTTTAACACAAGAACTAGATTGAGGGCAAGTGCATATTTTTCTCTTCCCTTCCTAGTTTCCACATGGGGTTATTTTTCTCCTGACCATCCGTGTCCTGGGCTCCTCCCCTGGATACTGTTAAGTCAAACTACGAACAATATCAAAAAAGAGCAAGTCTTATCCGGACTTTATACAACTCTACCTGGTGATTAAGTTCTGCTAAACAACTCTACCTGGTGATTAAGTTCCGCTTTAGTTGATGCGAAATGAGCAGATTATTTGATAGGTCTTGCCGGTATGAAGCCTACCCTTCCCGAGTGAAAATCTGTCATCCTATTGCTAAGATGTTTAATTTGGTTTAGAGTCGAGCGATGAAGCACATGATTCTGCCATTAGTGAGAAAGCAAAAGGCAAGTAAACTCTATAGCCCTAAACTAAAAAGATCATATAAAGTTCGTTCAGCTTGAGGGATAAATTACATGAGGAAATGGATGGCGCTATATAAATGTGAGGTGTGACCTCCTAAACTAATTTGCAAAAACTATTGGCGTGTAATAGACGCTAAAATGAGCTGGAAATAGAAAAACAACACTCATAAAGATCCTCGCCATGCTAGGGAACAATTGAAATCACAAGGCAAATCACAAGCAACAATATTTGTATATTGTCGCTTATCCTCATTAAAAGAAAAATGGAATTGCCCCCATTGCTGTTAGACTCAAGCTACTAACGTAGAAGGCATCAACACTTGGATAGGTGACTTCCTCACCTGATTGAATTGAGTGATTGAATACCTCAAACAAGAAAGATTAAGCTGACATGTATATAACAAGTATTTGGTGAAGCCACCAAGCAAACACAAGACAAAAGACTGCAGACTGTAGCATAATCGTAAAACTATACTTTGATCATTTCTACAGATTAAACCTTTTCCAAATATCTTCGGTTCTAACGGAAGCAACATCTCCTAGAGGACCTTACAACCAGTATATCTGCACAATTTACCAGTGCAAAAATAAAACTTTGAATGCAATACAAAAGAAATATCCCCAAAAATTCTTCATAAAAATTAGTACGTTCAAGGATTATTCTGCAGATTGTGTCCACTTCTTTTTCAACCCCACCAAAGAAACAAACAAAAAACACAAGCTGTAGTTTTCTGATAAAAATTGAGCAACACTCCAAAAAGGGCAGCCCGGTGCACTAAGCTCTCGCTATGTGCGGGGTCCGGGGAAGGGCCTGACCACAAGGGTCTATTGTACGTAGCCTTACCCTGCATATCTGCAAGAGGTTGTTTCCACGGCTTGAACCCGTGACCTCCTGGTCACATGGAAGCAACTTTACTAGTTACGCCAAGGCTCCCCTTCGGAGCAAAAACTCCAACATTCCTAAAATTAACTAAAATTAGTCCTTGCTTGCTGTTAATAATTAGTCCTTACCACTCAATGGTCTAAGGGAATAAACTAGTGGTCTTACATATTCACTCCATTTCTCTTCCATAAAGGTCAACTTTTTCCAATGGTTTATATATCCCGAAGCACCTTTCATTTAGCCATTCACATATGCCATAAGTCAGTAAAATACATGAATCTAATCAATTTGCACAAAATGTAGGACCTATTGTAAGGATAAACGAACTATACCCCAAAACTGAAATGAAGCCGTTACTTTGGTCATAATCGGAAGAACAGATGAAGGTAGACTACCTGTACAAAATTTAGAGTCATTGTAGAGCTAAAATGAGCTAGTTAGTCATAACCAGAGTAAAGCAAATAAAGCAGTCAACTTGCACTAGAGGTGGGACCTATTGCAAAGCAAATTTGTGTTACTTCTCCAAAGGCTACCATGAATACTATCATCTCGAGTCCCATGTTAACCGTTACTTTGCTCTTAGTGATTAAAAGGACTAGCCTAAATATTCCAAAATTGATCAATATGACTACGCTCGGCCTCAAATTACAGAATCTCTCGCATTGATGTAGATGATCTATTCACTCTCACTCTATAGCAATTCTCGCTAAAAGACATTCTTAAGGATTTGCTTATAAAGCCGTTAGTTACATCAGCATTAAAATTCCTTCCTTATCATTATGCTAGCTTCTACCTTATTTTAGAAGTATAATCTCTTTGATCATAAGAAAATAAGTACAATCTCCATCTTTCGTGCTCTTTTCATGACTGCTGAACCTATAACCATTGCAGCTCTACTTGATCGCGAACTCAGCTATATTTAATAAGCATTCTACAGATCAAAAATCCAGACAAGCTTAATGTGTCAATACGTCTAAGCACCAAGTTACTACATGACAAAGTAGAAGCTAAGCATATGACAAAAGAAACAGGGTCATCTGAAATTTTAAGCCTTCACAAAATAGATGGAACTGGAAAGGATAACAACCTCATAATTTGAATTCGAAAGCAAATATCCCAACATTACCATACAATTGATGAAACAAAAGGCACAATTTCACAGCTTTCTGGAAGAGAAATGTCCTTATTTATTCCTCCTGATTCAGCATGTTTAAACCGTAACCATCGAAGCAAATTAAATGGTACGATATGAACTACATATAACACAACATAAAGCAAGTAACAAAACCTAATTAATTACCTACTCAACGTGAGGCATTGAGACCGAGAAGCATATTGCCTTGCTTAGGCAAGTAAGCCACATTCGGAGTCTTAGCCAAGGTAGCAGCAACCTCCCTAGACGCCTCAATTCTCCTGAGCTCAATTAATCCCATACCAGCAGCTGCAGTAGCATCAGAAATCAACTTAGCCGACTCGCTCTCTCCTTCAGCCCTAATAATCGCTGCCCTCCTCTCTTGCTCAGCCTTCATCACAACGAACTTGGACCGCTCCGCTTCCTGCTGAGCAACCTGCTTCTGCTCCACAGCTTTAGAGAACTCCGCACCGTATGACAAGTGTGTAATTGCCACGTCATCGAGCACGATGTTGAAATCCTTAGCACGTCGGATCAAACTCTCGCGAACTAAAGCTGATACTTGCGGACGCTCCGTGAGTAACTGGTCCGCGTTGAATTGAGCTACGACGGCTTTCAAAACCTCGTTGCCGATCGAAGGGAGAACTTTCTCGTCGTATTCTAGACCTAGGGTTTTGAAAATGGCGGGAAGGCGTGAAACTTCAGGGCGTGAGAGGACCCGGAGGGTAAGGTGGACCATCTGGAGATCCTTTGTGCCTGAAACGGAGGAAAATGTGTGGGGCCTAGTACGGATGTCGAAGATGAAAGGCTTTTGAAGCCATGGGACGAGGAAATGAGTTCCTTCGCCGACGGTATCGTCGATGACTCCACGGAATCTGTCGAAGAGGACGGCGCGTTGTCCACCGTCGACGGTGTAGAGGGAGGAGTTGAGAACCGTGGCGCTGATGCCTAGACCGAAGGCGGCGCGTGCAACGTTCGTGAGGAATGATACTGCTGCTTGGCTGCTACCCATTTTTTGGGTTTTTCACTGCGAGATTTTGGGGTTTTTTTTGGGAAGATGTGAAGGGCTTTTGCTGAAAATGGAGTAAAACCCTAAACCCTCAATAACAACGGGTAGGGTCCGGAACAAATGGGTCGGAGGCCCAGCACGTGAAGTGCACGGTTAAAAGATGTCTTTACTCTTTATCCACGGTTTAGGATGTATTTATTTTTTAGCCAGTGTTTAATAATCTTTTACCCGCCCGGACGAAAATACCTATGTGTTAGACATGGGTATTGTGTAAATATTAAGGACATGGTATCCTTAACTTCATTAATGTTGTGTAAAATATTAAGGACATGGTGTCCTTAACTTCATGAATGTTGTGTAAATATTAAGGACTACTTGTCCTTAGTTTTTGAACTTGTAACTCTAAGTCTAGAACTACATGTCCTTAACGTTTGAATTTGGAACTCGAAGTCCAGGACTACCTGTGCTTAATTTATGTGCCTGTTACCTCTAAGTTAAGGACTACTTGTCCTTAATTTCTGTGCTTGTAACTCTAAGTTAATGACCAAGTATCCTTAATTTTTGAACTTCCAACTCTAACTTCAGGACCAAGTGTCCTTAACTTATGAGCTTGTTAATATAAGTTCAGGACTAGTTGTCCTTAATTTATGAGCTTGTAAGTCGAAGTTAAGGACTACTTATCATTGATTTTTGAACTTGTAACTCTAAGTTTAGGACCAAGTATCCTTAACTTATGAGCTTGTTAATGTAAGTTCAGGACTAGCTGTCCTTAATTTATGAGCTTGTAAGTCTAAGTTAAGGACTACTTGTCCTTAGTTTTTGAACTTCTAACTCTAATTTTAGGACTACCTGTCCTTAACTTTTGAACTTGTAACTCTAAGTTCAGGACTACATGTCCTTAACTTTTGAACTTGGAACTCGAAGTTCAGGACTACATATCCTTAATTTCTGTGCTTGTAACTCTAAGTTAAGGACTATATGTCCTTAATTTCTGTGCTTGTAACTCTAGATTAAGGACCAAGTGTCCTTAATTTTTAAACTTCTAACTCTAAGTTCAGGACCAAGTACATACCACAACCATGTCTCTTTATGTCTTCTGCTATGCATTTTGTGTAACCCGATAACACCTCGAATTGCACTGACTGTATTTGCCTCGCCAAAAACATCAAGATTACACCTATTGAAATCATTATTAACAGCAAAATTGGTAATAATAATTGATTGATACTTTATATTATTTTGGGGTATGATTACGGAAATGAGTTGAAAAAGAAAGGGCAGTATATGTTCACAGGAACAAGACTTTTTGATTTGATTGAGAGTAGGAAGAATTTGATAGTTGTCAGCACAAGTTAGACGTTATCTCCATCATTGGTATACCCGGACTTGATAGAGGGTTTGCGAAGGAAAAGAGATAGAAAAAAGGGTAACACGGTCTTTTCATATTAATTTTAATAGACTAGTGGCTACTATTGCTAAGCATTAAAAATGCTGGATAAAAGGTAAATACCACTTTAAAAAGTAGCTATCCCACACAATTTTTACAAGTTCTGTCTATATTTTGGTTATTACAAATAATATCCACTAATTGTTCAAAAACAAATCACATTCATTTGCGCCTTCTATGCTTATTTTAGCATGATTGTTAGTCAGAAACTTTTTTCTATAATCTAAAAAATATTTTCATTAATTAAAGGGATATGGATCTAGAGATGATTTGAAATGAAGAATATGATCACTGAGGATTCATAATGACCACAATTTGCTTGAGATTGAAAAGCAGTTATTGTTATAAATAAAAGGATCGGGAAAGGAAATCGTGAAAAACAAATTAATGATGTATGGAAGACCCTACTAATATCAAGGAAGATCTTCATCTCTTTCTCCCTACTGAGGAGAAAGAAGCAAGGAAGCTTTGATCCCCAATATCCATCATCAGTTGCACTAGATTAAAGTGTATGAGGAGCCAACCTTGTTCAAGAACGGTGACCCTTTTCATTTATGTACTCTTTGTTATCATTTAATATTATGAAAATCATCATCCTTTCCTTACATAATAAGATTTAATCATAGTTATAATTGAATCTTATGTTCAGTTTTTTTTATTCTTATCTTCTATCTTAGGCCTCGGGTAAATTATCTCAGGCTAGGATTTACCTCAAATCTTCTTATTAATTCGTCTTAAGAAAAGGTTTAACACTTTTTTGGTAAAAACAATTTGGCGCCGTCCGTGGGGATTTTCTAGCCAAAATTTTAGTTTTCTCTAGATCTAAAGTCAGCCAGAGTTGCACTTCCCGGTTGTCGTAGCCTCTCCCTCTCATTACAAACACCAACTTGAGAAATTCATAGGCAAGCTTTTGAAATAACTGAACCAACCAGGGTCAGGTCTTTGCATGAAATCAAAGTCGTCTGATATCTATACAAAATCCACATCTTGCTGTAGCGATGGGTTTGGCACGTCATGAGTATGAGCTGTCAAAGTGAAATTATGGCCACTACGCACTGAGCACGTCCACAATCCTATATGCTATATTAACATTTGATACCGATCTATACTTCATACACATTGCCCCCTCCCTCTTAGGAAGGGACGATAGCCTATTGTGTGATTCTTTGAAATAACAAGCTTGTCCTACCCGTATGTACGGAGTATAACTTATGTTTCCCTTATTTTTGTGCACCTCGGACAAGATCGGACCGGGACTCGAGCTCGAGATCCCAACGGGCGAAGTAAGTTGTCAGCCCATGAGAAGCCCAAACTCGATTAACGACGAAGCTAAGCACGAGGCTGCCAAATCTGAAGTCGTCATTCGAGTATGAAACAAAACGAGTCATCTTACAGTGCCCCTTTCCCCTTGCCAACCAATCAGGTCAAGGGAACAAACGATTTCGTTTGGTTTTAACTTGTTATTCTCCTTTTTTGGATTGGGATAGGAACATGAGCATTCTCCCAGGTGCACGAACAAGGAACAAACGCCAGCAAAACAACACGCCAGAAAAACATTCCGCACTATATCGTCCCGCAGGCAACGGTCGAGCAAAACCCCCCACACCGTACCATACTGCGAATAACAGATAAACGGCTCAGAACAAGCTAGCATTATTAAGAAACAATCTCCATAACCTGGGACTGGGTAGTGAGCCCATGGAATGTACAATCTCTCCAATTCGGCCACCTTCCTTTGTAGCTCACCCACCTTCTCCGTCCACTCTGCACTTAGGTTGGCAACTGTAGTGGCATTCTACTCAAGCTCGGCTCGCAAAGACAACGCCTTCGCCTGAAGGTCCTCGCATTCCACCGCAACCCTTTTGTCCACCTCGAGCTCCTCGTCTTTGACCCTAAGCAGCCCCTCTAGCTCGCTACATCTGCGGATAGACTGCATCAGATCCTTGTCCCTTTTTTCTAACTCCTCCTTGAGGGATTGAGTATTACTGCCCGCCCTAAGTTGCGCGTGCATCTTACGGCACCTGTTGCGATACCGGCGATACTTCGTGTCCATTTTTAGAAAAACTTCGGCCCGCATCTCAGCCCTACGAGCACTCTCAATCTCCAGCATGTAAGTCTAAAAAGGGGGGGGGGGGGGTAGAATCAACAAAAGCAAATGTCACAAAACAAAGAAAATAGCAAAAGGAAACTCACCCTCAAGGCCATCCCAGCCACACCGCGTGACAAACCAGAATCACTGATCTCCCGAAGAGACCCGCTTTCGGCGGCGGAGCACAGAAGGTCAAATTAGGGCACCAAGTCCACCGTGTCCTCCAACAGGTTAAAGTTCGACAGAATTTTGAGCACACGGGAGGGCCTTCCGCCCTCACATCGACCCTGGTAAAGCCTTCCTCGAACATCCTCATGTCCTCAGGGTCGATATCAGAATCGGATTCATAATCCTCTACCACTACGCCCTTCAACCTCTCATTAGCCGAAGATGGGGTACAGGCCTGCCGAGACGTCGATGGGCCGCTCGAAACAATCGCGGCAGCCTCGGATCTCTTTCCCCCTGCCGCAGCAGCCTCTTTCACGCCCGTAATAGGCATCGCCTCCACACCCAGGCTGGCATCACCGCCGGCTTCAGACATCGCCAAAACGGGGTCGCCCCTCGAGGGCGTTTCAGTCAAAGACGCCCCCTCCGACACTATCCTCCGCCTCTTTGACGGAGCCTCTTCACCACTACCACGAGAAGGTTCGTCCGCTAAACGGACTATGGGAACCGGAGTGTCCGACCAAAGAGCAACATCCGAACGAACAGGTTCAGTCGCGGACGTGCTCTGCCGAGCAACCAGACTTTGGACGCCCTCATCCACAGTTACCCTTGGTACGGGCCGGGTAGAGGAAGCCGGTTGACGGAAAGCAAGGATAGGAGCCATTGCGCTTCTCGCTCCTCTCCGACCTGTCAATGAGAAATCTGACCAAATAAAAATATAAGATAAAGAAAAAGACGGAGCAAAGAACAAAGCAACTAAGTCCGAAATAAGCTGACTTACCGGCAGTAGGTTTGCGCCCAAACCTCTCGTGGAAAGGCGCCCATTCGCGGATCCCCATCGTGTGGGGCAGGATTGATCTCACCCATCCGCGAATATTGGCAACTTGGGGATGAGGTACCCTCTCGGCTGCGGAAATAGAAAACACTCGACGATCACTAGAGGGAGACGACCAACAGCCATGTTCAAAAAAAAATATAATATAATAAAAGGAAGGGAGAGGGCGAAATTCCACGCCTCAAGAAACCCCGCAGGGTTCGATACCACGTGCTCTGTTCGGACGTAGAAGAAGTTCTCCCAAAAGCGGCGATTGGACTTGTCAGCCATCTTCACCACCAAACCCTTGGTTCCTCGGTAACGCAGATGAATCATCGCCCCTATGAAAATGGGGGGTGTGTTGTAGAGAAATTCCCCGATCGGCCAGCTCCGCGTACTTGATAAGCATAAGGAAGAGCTTGTATACGTACGGAGAGAGTTGAGCCAGACACACCTTGTAGAAGCGGCAAAAGTCCACCGCCAAGGAGGGAAGGGGAAGTGTGTATCCAAATGACAAATGGATATGCGTAAAACACGCAGTAGGCCGGGCGGTGTATATG